CCATAATTTCAAACAGTTCCAAGATTGGGCTACTAGTTCAAAAGTTACAGCCCTTTGAATTTTCTTTCGAAATTGGTTCTAGTCTATAACTTTTGATTGAGAAGTCTGATCGAAAAAGTACGAATTGTTTTGGATTCTACGCACCAAAATTAATAAGAAAAAGTGTTTTTCCCGAGAAATTTTGGTGTAGTCGATTTTTGGTAAAAAAGGAAGGTTATACACTGCCTTTTTTTGAGCCCCGAAAAAAAATTGTCTCAGATCGACCGGGAAAAAAAATTTTCGTATAGAATGTCTCCTGTAGAATCCATAATTTCAAACAGTTTGGAGATTGGGCTACTAGTTCAAAAGTTACAGCCCTTTGAATTTTCTTGCGAAATTTGTTTCTAGTCTATCACTTTTGATTGAGAAGTCTAATCGAAAAAGTACGAATTGTTTTGGATTCTACGCCCCAAAATTAATAAGAAAAAGTGTTTTCCCGAGAGATTTTGGTGTACCTAGTCGATTTTTGGTAAAAAAAAGGAAGGTTATACACTGCCTTTTTTGAGCCCCGAAAAAAAAATTGTCTCAGATCGACCGGGAAAAAAATTTTTCGTATAGAATGTGCCCTGTAGAATCCATAATTTCAAACAGTTTGGAATTGGGCTACTAGTTCAAAAGTTACAGCCCTTTGAATTTTCTTGCGAAATTTGTTTCTAGTCTATAACTTTTGATTGAGAAGTCTAATCGAAAAAGTACGAATTGTTTTGGATTCTACGCCCCAAAATTAATAAGAAAAAGTGTTTTCCCGAGAGATTTTGGTGTACCTAGTCGATTTTTGGTAAAAAAGGAAGGTTATACACTGCCTTTTTTTGAGCCCCGAAAAAAAAATTGTCTCAGATCGACCCGGAAAAAAAATTCTCTTATAGAATGTGGCCTGTAGAATCCATAATTTCAAACAGTTCCAAGATTGGGCTACTAGTTCAAAAGTTACAGCCCTTTGAATTTTTTTTCGAAAGTGGTTTCTAGTCTATAACTTTTGATTGAGAAGTCTGATCGAAAAAGTACGAATTGATTTGGATTCTACGCACTCAAATTAATAAGAAAAAGTGTTTTCCCGAGAGATTTTGGTGTAGTCGATTTTTGGTAAAAAAGGAAGGTAATACACTGCCTTTTTTGAGCTCAGAAAAATAAAATTGTCTCAGATCGACCCGGAAAAAAATGTTTCTTATAGAATGTGGCCTGTAGAATCCATAATTTCAAACAGTTCCAAGATTGGGCTACTAGTTCAAAAGTTACAGCCCTTTGAATTTTTTTTCGAAATTGGTTTCTTGTCTATAACTTTTGATTGAGAAGTCTGATCGAAAAAGTACGAATTGATTTGGATTCTACGCACCCAAATTAATAAGAAAAAGTGTTTTCCCGAGAAAATTTTGGTGTAGTCGATTTTTGGTAAAAAAAGGAAGGTTATACACTGCCTTTTTTTGAGCCCCGAATAGAAAATTGTCTCAGATCGACCCGGAAAAAAAAATGTTCTTATAGAATGTGGCCTGTAGAATCCATAATTTCAAACAGTTCCAAGATTGGGCTACTAGTTCAAAAGTTACAGCCCTATGAATTTTTTTTCGAAATTGGTTTCTAGTCTATAACTTTTGATTGAGAAGTCTGATCGAAAAAGTACGAATTGATTTGGATTCTACCCACCCAAATTAACCCTAGTTTACTGGCCACTAAAACTTTCAAGTTTACGGGCGTGGGGTGGAACGAACCCCACTCTAACTGTCGCCAAAATATTGAAAGAAAAAAAACTAAGAAAATGCAGGGTTATTGTGAAATTGCCATTTTTACAAATTTATTTGTAAACCCCTCATTTTGGCCGGCCGGCTGGCTGGCAGCACATGCCGGCCCGTGTTTTAGAATTGTCACGGTTACATAGCGATGGTCCCGATAGTGACCCTTGTGGAATTCCCATCTAGTTATCAAAGAAATTGGATTAGGAAACATAACGTTGTCAATTTGTAAGGTGGTCTTGTGTGCCGCACTCGCATTTTTGGTCATGATTTTGAAGGTGTTATTTTGTTATAGAAAGGTCCTTTAGAATTAACATATCGAATTTACGAAAACACGATAAAGAGGTTGAAATCGGGGGGCGAAGCAAAGGAGGAGAACGAATCGTGCTCAGCAGAGGATAAGTCCCAGTCGGAATGGAAAGAAGTGCAATTAAGGATCAGTGAGAACGGTGAGATGTGCATCACTGGTGTTGACGATTGCTTGGTGGTGAATGAACCGGTTCCAAAGACAATAAGTAGTGTTTGTGATCAAAAATCGGAGACGACGGTAGATGTAGCAGAACCAAAACAAAATGTGCTTCCATCGCAGACTAACGAAACTGCAAACACCAAGAGAGATGGATCGGCTTTAAAGCTCATAGGTAGGGAGGATACGGGCACAACCACGACCATCCAAAGTACCATTGCGCCGATTAAGTCCGAGGCGAAAGTTGAGAGTGTGAAGACGGTCACCACGACTTCGGTCGCGGGGGAATCAACGCCGCCGACAATTCCCGAACGTTTGGCAGGAAACAAACACAAGTTACCGAATGCGCCCGAAGCCGAGCCACCTCCGAAACTACCAAAGCCCACAATATTAAACCATACCTTAGGCATACAAAATTTATCCAACAACCACCCGTTAAAACGGCACGCTCAAATTAGACGAAGCATTGAAAGCGTATGCTCAAGCACGGCAAGTCATAATTCGACGCATTTAACCACGGTCACTGTAAACTCCACGCCAGTATCCTCGATATTTTCGAAGCATCCGAACTCAACAAAATGGCCCCCAAATCGGCTACAAAGCACAAATTTACCATGTTACGCGCCTAAAACTACTTATAATCCAATAATCAACGTACCTAAAGTCCAAGCCAGTACAAGCAACACGAGACCTGATCAAAAAGTGCCAACATCTCAGGTACCGCCCACTTCTACACCGCCGCCCACGATTCTAAATAACAAATTGTCAATTAAAACCAAATCGAATAACCCTATCGGCTACAAGACTCTCCGAGACCCGCCGAAAACCTGGAACCCCCAAATATCTAGGGCGAGCCTGCTGAAGTCGCCCGATCCGAAATACGCCGACCTGAAGAACGTGAGACCGGCGAAGTTCTTCAAAATGCGGAACAACATGCCGAGGTATCTGGGTAATCCGGCCTCGGGCGTTAAGCCCCTCTACCAGGTCCACAACAGTCCCGAGAAAGAGAAGAGTGCCGCCGAGAAGACCGAAATAAAGAAGCACTCGATCGTGAAAATCGACCCGAAGACGCTCAAGCCCGTCTCGGAGAAGGCGCCCGACGTCGCGAACCTGAGCAATCAGACCGATCTGAAGATCAACACGAGCTCGGTCCCGATCTTCAACCCGCTGAAGCTGCAGAGCTCGCCGAAGAGCGACCGCAAGTCGCCGAAGAGCCCCCACTCGCCGAAACCGAAGGGCGCGTCGCCGCGCGACAAGCTCAACCTGAGCTACACGCCGCCGAACCCCTTCATACCGAACCTCGCGTCACCGACGCTCAGCCCGAACCAATTTCTCTACCCGCCCGGACCGCCCGGCTTTCCCCCGTACGACCCGCGAATAATGGCAGCTTACCACAGTTTCCTCTACGGGCAGCGCTCGACGTTCACGTCGCCGCCGAGCTTGGATCTAAATCAGCGCAAGCCCCCCTTCGAACTGCCCCAGCCGAAATCGCCCGAGACCGCCAAGGCGGCGAAGGCGAAACGCGCCGGCAAAGAGACGGGGAAGATCGAGAAGAGTCTCGAGACGGCCGTCGAGAAGCTGACCCAGAATCGCGTCAAGGAGCTGACGAAGACCGAGACCGAAAACGGGCGGAGAACGCCGCAGGACCAAAAGGAGGCGAGCCCGCCAAGCGAATTGAGGGCGCTGTTAGTGACGAACGATTTAAAAATTAAAGTCGACGCCTCCAATATAAGTGATACTAAAGAAGCGAGTAGTAATAATAACAATGCGGTTAGTCTGCCTTTAATCGCCGACGCGAAAAAATGAAGCTCATTTTGACGATAAGCTTAATCAAAGTGATAAATTAGTCATATATTTTTAATTCACCTTTCGGGAAGGTTCTCTTGTGTGTGATTACTTTTTAATTTTTTCATATCAGCAAAAGTGCCTGCATTTGTAGACAATTCTAATTTTATTGGGGGAGAGATTTTATAGCGCAGCTGTGAGGTGCCTTTGCTAATCACTTTCACACATCATCTTATTATCTACTAATCAAATATTTTGAGGTAGCGCTGGCAACGCTGCCGCCAACTTCAGGGGAATCGCCTTCTTGTCAATTTTCGGACCATCCCCGATAGATTGTCGGCGCTATTTCTCGATAATACTCTCGCTTTTTAGTTTCGTGGATAATTATCGCTTTTAATTTGTTCCGGTTGTTGATCGGCATTAACAATTTATGCAGCCTAGTTTTTGACGTCGAGTCTTGGAAATCGCGCTCTCTACGGGTTCAATTTTGTATCATTGTTTCAAAACGGTTATTGATTTGTAAATAATTGTTAATAAGTTCTATGTTTTGTATATATTTAAATAATTTCTTTTAATATATATGTATTTTACACACATTGTGCACTGTAAGTATCTGATCTGTACAAAAAGTGGGCTGTATAAAATCTCAGACGGCTTGTTTTATTGGTAGAGTTCAATTTTATAGTATTGTAGAAAATTAAAGAAATGTTTTAATTAAGTTGTAAATTGAAGATTTTATTGTACATTGTATATATTTCAGCACAGATTTAATAAATATTTATAGTTTCCCTATAATTGCTATTTATTGTCAACGTATTGAAGCAGGCAAATCTCAAATATTACATTATGATATCTCTGCTGCATTCGTCAAAAGACACACTCAGCTAGTCTCAAAAACGGTAACAAAACCGAAAAGTTTTTGTTAGTAGATTCTCGCCCCAGAGATAGGTAACTCGTCCAGGGTATCCGAGTTTCCAGTTAACAGTTGAAGTCGATCCCAGCGTTAGGCGTAGTAACATATTTGGTTACAGTTATTTGCCATCCCCATGACTGCCTCATTCACGGAGATAAGGTTAATGTACAACGAACAAGTACAGTACATACATCAAACAATTCAATAACTTCCACATACTTAAAAGAATGATCTAAATTTAACGTGAGGCCAGACCATGTTATCATAACAATAATTAATAACATTTACATACAAAATGAAACGGTATTTCCCATACACGTGATGCATTGAGGTTAAATCAACTCAATTTCAAACACAAAAAGTACAAAACAAACAAATTCTAAATAAGGGCAAAGATTTCCTCTTCTAAAAATTGCGTGGATGCCAGCTCTCAAAAATGTGTGCATCAGCGTAGGTTGTACATTAATGATCCTGCTTCCGTCCGGATCCATCTTACGAATGTCGAAACCTTAAGTAACCTCACCAATGGAATCTGTGGTGGACCTGCAATATTTCGCCATATGTCATTTGGCACGACCCAGCTTAAGGTGAGTGCACAACTCTTACCTTTCTAAAGCCAGAGGGTACTCTATCAACTCAGCCAGCTCCCTGGTAGACGGAGCTTCATCCGGATCGTACGGGGGAGAGCAGACCACCTAGTGCCTGCTCCGTCCTTTGCCATCATCAACGACGAGATCCCTGAAACAGAAAGTCCTAGGATTCAGTTGGCACCCCCTCTTATAATAGGTCGCTTGCGTTCACCAGACCGCTTCCAAAGCGCTCCTGAATTTGCTTTATTTAAAGTGGTAGTTGGAACGAGTCGTTCACTAGAAATCAGTAGGTGTATAGGGCCGAACCTGGACCGTTCAAGGTCGCTCGCGACCTGGTGGTAACTTTGTAAAATAGGTCAAGGTCACGTTGCGTGAATTAGCTCAAGGTGAAAGGTGAGGGCCAAATGGGCGGTGACCTTGAACATTTGGTCAAGGTGAAAGTCGCGTGTGACGTAGGCGGTGACCTTGTAAATTAGGTCATCAATTGATGTGTACATTTTCAAAAGCATACAAGATCAATGGCCTCAATTTGAGGTGCCAAATTACGTGTTCGAGGGTATCCAAGGTTAATGTGGTGTCAAATTACATTTTCAATGTAATCTAAGGTCGATGACCTGAACTGTGACTTCAAAAATACATTTTGAATGTCATCCAAGGGCAATGGACACATTTTCGAGGCATCAAATTATATTTCCAAGGTCAATAGAGTAATTTTTATGTGGTGTCTAATTACAATCTTAAGGTCATCCGAGGACAATGATCCCATTTTTGTGGTGGCAAATTACATTTTCAAGGTCACAGAATTAAGGGCAATGGCCACATTTTTATGCGGTGTCTAATTAAATTTTCAAGGTGGAGCATTGTCAATGACCTCAATTTTATATGGTCTTTAATTACATTACAAAAGCCAATGACCCTAAGTTTGCCTGCTGTGACAAGCGACACGTTCGAGGTCATCTAAGGTCGATGACATCATTGTATGTGGTGTCTAATTACATTTTCAAGATCATCTAATTTCATTTCCAAGGTCAATGTTCCCATTTTTGTGGTTCTATAATTCATTTTTACCAAAGTTCATTGATCCTCTACTTTTTTACTGTGCTAGATTCCATTTTCAAGTTCATCAAAGGTGAATGCCGCCCATTTTTGTAATTCCATCTATTTTTATTTTCAAATAGGTAGGTACAGCAAAAATCAATGACTCCATTTTTGTGTTGTCAAATTTCAATCTCAGTGGCATACAAAGTCAACGACTGAATTTTTATGTTGTTTCGAATTACATTTTCGAGGCCATCCAAGGACAATATGAACCTATTGTGTGGTATCAAATACCATTTTCAAGGCCATAGAAGGGAAATGACCTCACCTTTTATGGTGGCTGATTATATTTTCGAGGTCGTCCGAGGATAATGAACCAATTGTTTCTGTGTCAAATTATATTTTCAAGAGCAAACAAGGTCCAAAAATACAGTCATCGACCTTGGATGCCATTGAAATTGTAATTTGACAACACAAAAATGGGTCCATTGATCTTGGACGACATTGAAAATGTAATTTGACACCACAATTGAGACCATATTAACCTTGGATGACCTCGAACATGTAATTTGACACCACATCAATTGTTGACCCAATTACCAAGGTCAATATCTAATGCAGAATCCATAAACGTAAATTTTACAGTTTTGAAAGGTACATGTTTATACTGCTACCTAATAGAGGGCGTTGTTTAAAAACATCCGACCGCTTTGAACACAGGATGCAAGAAAGGTATAGCATTGATGTAAAGAAAGGAGCCCCCACTTTTTTGACGGAAATACACGTTTTGAGGCACCCAGGAGTCCGAATCAAACAAAATCTCAATGATGTCGGTCTGTCTGTCGATCTGTACTCTCATTTTTTGTTACTGTATACAATTGACATTATCAAATGTATATCAATTACTGTTTGCATAACCATATGGTCTAAAGATATCCAATTTATTAAAAAAATGTCATTTGGTAACTGGCCATTAATATATTCAAAACATATCAAATAGGCTTGTTTTTCACACCAAAAAACAAGGATAGGTTTTTGAACATTTCTGGAAAAATGCGATTTTCACTTATATAGGTTTTTTTGAGATTTTGAGAGAACTATGAGACCTACAAACATTTGGTTTGCTTTGCGCTTAACTTGGTCGAAAGAAGGTCTAAAGTTTTAACTTTTTGGAGAAGATTTTCAAAGTGCCGTAATTCGGTAACTAACTGACCTACAGAGCTCCGGTTGGGCCTAAATTGTCACACGTTTCAACATCGTTTATAGTGACTTTTGTCGAAAAATGCATAGTTTAGGAGATATAGAGCAAAAACTGAACAAATTTCGCGGTTTTTCGTGTGCTATATGGCACGAGCGAAAAACTTTAAACATCCTATCCAAATGTTAAATTTTGAGATGGGGGTGGCAAGTGGCAGGTGGACGTGTGATTTGAGATTGGTTTCTCATCCACGAAACGTTTTTGGGTATTCTGTTAACATCTCTAATTAAAAAAAGAGGGCTCTGGAACTTGCGGATAATGTCACCCTGTATAATACTTTCATTATCTGGTAATTCTGGTAGCTCTTTTTGTACACAAGCAGTGGCGTAACTAGGTATTTTTCGAAGCGGTGCCGGATCAGGTTTTGGCGCCCTACCAGATTTTGGCGCCTAATCAGTTACCATTGCGCTCTAATTAATAAAACACGGTACATTTTTGAGAGAAACTACACGAAATTTTAACAGCACTGCACCCTGTAGTGTACTTAACCCCCAGGTTCTACGCTAACTTCACACTACAAGAACACGGAAATAAAGGCAACCCGTCAACGTCTAAAAACGGCCACCCAAATGACTATTCCCTCCAAAACAAGATCCCGCTTAAATTTGAAAAGTGGCACGTGATCAAACATCTAAGGCAGGGCCCCCTTACGTTAGTTGTATACAACGCGTTGACCTGAAGCACAGTAGGGAAGGAACGTTAAATAAAACACTGAAATTGTGAAAAGTTTGTTTAATAATGATCGTAATTATTAAGATTGTGAAAGCCCGGAAATTTAGTTGATGTACATTAATATAAACAAAACAAACAAAGCCAAAAGGTTTCGTACTCTCGCAAAAGTCACTGCCAAGGGTAAAAAGAGTACGACGAAGAAAAACCTTGCAGTTTGATTAAAACAGTCCAAAAGTTAATTAACAAAATATTTTGTAAAAGTTTAAGCAGTAGTTAACAAAGATAGTAAATGCATATACACAATGTTGGTTACACTCAAGGTTAAAAGCAAGTTTTTGGGGACATGGGTCAGGTAGGAGCAGGTACCTAAATTCTGAGAAAGGGTGAAATACACAGGATGTAATTCATCTTTGGTGCAATAAAGTCCTTTTGTTAAAAGCAAGATGGAACATTACATGGGCTTGTAGACAAATTTGACTAAAAACAAGATATGTGGAAATTATTGAATCGTCACTCATTTATCGCACATAGATTTTAAACTGAAGAGCTTTGATTAGCGTAATCTCGCTCCTGCAAGATGGGTAGTCCGCCCCTGGTTTCGGGGTTTCGAACCTACAGTTGGATGTCGAAGACAATCACGGAATTAGGTGTCGTAACACAAATTTGACTACAGTTTTTTTCCACCCCCGTGACCGCTTCATTCACGGAGAAAATTGTTAGTAACAAACAACAAGTCAGTACAAACCTCAAACGAATCGGTAATCTCCACATAATAAAATAAAATGATCCAAACTTATATGAATGTTACTTCAGGGACAAGACCAAGTAATCAACATCAATAAACATAAATTAAGCAAACATTACACCAAAAATGTAAACAATTATAAACAATAGCATAACGGTATCACACATATGATTGCATTGCGGTTAAACCAAGTAAATTTCAAGAAATGCAAAAATTACTACCTGCATTAAATAACACAAAATAACAACAAACATTTATGGAGCGACGCGTTCACTACCGCCATTCAAGACAAGATGCCAAACGTAACTCCCGTTCGTGCTTTCCAGGTGGCGCAGGCAGCTTTTTCCCACCTAGAAATTGCATGGTTGCCAACTCTCCAAAATGTATGTATCGTTGTAAGTTGTATATACAGGGTGGAACCTTTCAACCCTTTCGAATTTACGCACAAATTTTGCATACTTAAATTTTAGAAAGATGCTTTGAATAACGAAATCTTTCACTGAACGAAGAATAGAAATACATTTATTTATAGTGTTTCCAATTCTCGCGTCAAATTTAACTATGGCATGGGGCACAAGTCGTAGAAATGATTGCGTGCAAATGCTGGTTACACTAATACAGACTATTGTAGAGATCACAAATAAATTATTATTATTATTATTTTAAACTTGTAGTCTTTTCCTACCGCTGTAACTTTGTACTACAAGGGCCACCCAGAAAGTAACAGACGTTTTGAAATAAAAAATTAAGAAAGTGTAATAAACAACTTTTATTATATACATTTGGAAGCTACACTCTTAGGCTATTTTTCAACACAGTCGCCATTCATATTGAGGCACTTAAGATAGCGTGGTACAAGTGTTTTGATTCAAACTGTGTATACATCTGCCTTCTGTGGGGGCGTCGGAAGCGGGTACCGACAATGGGAGTGTGGTAGCTCTCGACAAGATCTTACTAACGGTGGAGTCAAAACTTCAAACGCGAATTCCGGGCGAACGGGATGTCGGAGGTGGGTACCGACAAAGGTAATATGGGGCCCCCGACAAAATCTTATTGATTGTGGTTACTGGTACTGATCTGCCACACAAAATGCGCTGAAATCCCTTACATCTCACACAAAGACTTTGATAATTTTTTTTACTTTTTAACAATGTTCGGTTCATCCTAAAGGAGCGTAAATTTAGTTTTAATTATATTTCAGTGCACCCTGTAGTCGACTTTAGCAATGTATTAGAATTTAACTGCCGTTCTTATATCTTTTATGACTGGCCTATACGGTACACCACCTACTGCCCGTCCCGACTTAGTGCCCCCGGTGCTTCAGCGCTCCCCCATTCAGAGCGTGGTGCCGCGGCACCTTTGGCACCTACCTAGTTACGCCATTTTTTATCCCTAAAAATTCCTCCTAGTTGCGTGCCTGCTTCAAAACATCGAGAAGCGCATAATCCACATGTTTATCAATGACAAATTCGAAAATAGCCTATTGTGTAATTTTGTAAATGCGTTGCAAGCGATAGGGAAACTGCGCAATGCAGCGACTTATCTCCCACTTGAAGAATTGGGTGTATTTTGGTACCATAGTGACAGCTTCAATATAGAAAGGATAGTTGCTGGGCTGCACTTAAAAAAAAACGGAGGTTGCCTCGGAAGAAATGTTGCATGTGACATAAGCAATTAATAATTAGGTAAGGGTCATCACAAGCACAGCAGATGCGGCGGGGCTGCCTAATTGACCGTAAGGCAATTATTCGGAGCGCCAATTTTCTGAATGAAATACTTTCGCAATTTTGGCACAAGCGAAAGCGAAATTTGCTTTACATAGAAAAAAGTGGGAGTTTCGACGTAGGTAGACTATTTTTGGCATGCAACCAAGCACGTGGTCCACCGCATTCGCGTCGCAGTATCTTAACCATGGATTCGCCGTCGGGAAATCCCCAAAAAAATCGATCCTGCTAAAAGCCCGCTCGGTCTTTGCGCAATTTTAGGCCACTTTCTGTTAAGACGAGTGGGATACGTGCAATTTCGCACGTGCAACGAGCAAACGACGCGATTCGTGCGCGGACAAGAATTTAGAATGAGGTAGCGATGGGAAGACGGCGATTATTTCCCCATTTTTTTCGCGTCATTTAAATGGTCGACGTTTCGGGTTCGCTCTTTACTTTGGGGGAATTCCTTTAGATAGCAACTTAAAAATGTTATCGGCCTGCAAGAGCACTTTAAACAACACTTTACAAAGGTCAGTGTTTGGTGTGATAGTGCTATCTCGATAACCATTGACCTACATTTGCTTGTAGAATTCCATTCCGATCCTTGGGGTCGATCGTGCCGCAAGAGAAACTCTCCGAACGGCTCGCCACACAGAATGAGCCGGTGTTGCAATATTTAAAGGGCTCGGAAGAACGCAAGGAGCTCGAAAAGCAACTGAAATGCATGCAAGAGGCCGTCGAGGAAGTTCCCATTGTCATCGGTGACCATGAGTTTAAATCACAAGATCTCCGATACCAGGTTAGTGTTCTGTGGTCTTTGCCCTCTTAATCTAAGACAACTCGTTATCACCAGGTGATCCCGCACAATCACGGCAAGAAATTGGCCAAGTTTTACTATGCGACGGAGGATATGATCAAAAATGCCATAAAGGTCGCAACAAAAGCCCAGGTCGAGTGGGACAGGACGCCCATTTACGAAAGGTACAGTGTCTAGTTTTTCACCTCCAAAAGATTGCTATAAATTGGAATAATTAAAGTGACAATCAATTTCCAGTAGGTGCAATGAATTTGCAATTTGAACTACTGCATTATTGCAATTAACATACAGGGTGCCCTCAAATCTCATTCCCATGGGGTTTTTTGTAGCAATGCTTTGGAGTTAATTATAAAATGGAAATGCAACTTAAATGAGTGTCATATTGACATCTTATATGATTAGATGACTTTTGGAATGACAAGATTTTGACTTCTATTTTTTACCATTTATGACTTATATTCTTCGATTGTAACAATTTTAGACAATATTTTTTTGGTTGTCTTACGTAGACCTTAAATACGGTCCTGATTTTTTGTATGCGTTTAAAAATTTAAGGCTCCCATGAGTTGAGAGATACAACGTATTGTCTCAGGTTACAGGAAAAGTTGAGTTGGGCCGTAAACGAAACCACCTGTAAATTACCGTGGGGTGTTCTGTTTGTGAATAGAGAATTCGCGCCTAGAAGTGAAAGAGACAGGGTTAAATAAACTTGTCTCATATAAACCTAATTAAAAAATTAGTGGTTTTATTTTTATTGTGGCACCATAATAATAGAGAGAGAGTGTGATTTACTTTTGGAGAAATATTGTGTTAATACAGTAGCGAAATTAAATACATGTGAAACAAATGCGAATTAAGCTTATGGTGACCCACGATTATAAGGTATAATTTGCGAATCAGAAACTGTTACGGTAAATACAAACGATAGTGGAAGTTTTAAACGAGCCAAACTTAATTTTGTACCGCTAATAACTTCAGAACAGTGATTCTTAACCTTTTAGCGGTGAGGGACCATTTTTGTCTTGGCATGGTTTTCTTTGGATATTTCAGACCAATCCAATTCTTCAGTTCCTTCCGATTTTTTAAATCAAATCTTGCCATTTTTTTTTACATCTACTACATCCTTGCAGATTGTTAGGCTTGTCCGCGGATTCTTCAATTTCTTAAATCCTTTCGTGTTCTTCAAACTCCTCAATTGGGTCTTATCATTCCTAGTTTTTACGCCCATTTACGAAAGGTACAGTGTCTAGTTTTTCACCTCCAAAAGATTGCTATAAATTGGAATAATTAAAGTGACAATCAATTTCCAGTAGGTGCAATCAATTTGCAATTTGAACTACTGCAATTAACATACAGGGTGTTACCAAATCTCATTTCCATGGGGTGTTGTGTAGCAATTCTTTGCAGTTAATTATAAAATGGAAATGCAAGATTTTTAAATAGTGTCATATTGAAATCATATGATTAGGTGACTTTTGGAATGACAAGATTTTGGCTTTTATTTTTTACCATTTATGACTTATTCTTCGATTTTAGACAATACTATGTTTCTTCAATTTTTTTGGTTGTCTTACGTGGACCTTAAATACGGTCCTGTTTTTTGTATGCGTTTAAAATTTTAAGGCGGCCATGAGTTGTGAGATACAGGTTACAGGAAAAGTTGAGTTGGGCCGTTAACCTGAAAATTACCGTGGGGTGTGTTTTCTTTGTGAATTCGCGCCTAGAAGTGAGAGAGACATGGTTAAATAAACTGATCTCTGATTCGGGCATGGATATGTATATAAAATTAATTCAAAAATTAGCGGTTTTATTTTTATTGTGGCACCATAATAATTGAGAGAGCGTGTTTTACTTTAGGCGAAATATTATGTTAATACAGTAGCGAAATTAAGTTCATGTGAAACAAATGCGAATTAAGCTTATGGTGACCATCGATTACAAGGTATAATTTGCGAATAAGAAACTGTTACGGTAAATACAAACGATAGTGGAAGTTTTAAACGAGCCAAACTCAATTCTGTAACCCTAATAACTTCAGTGCAGTGATTCTTAACCTTTTAGCGATGAGGGACCATTTGACCATGTTTGTCTTGGCATGGTTTTCTTTGGATATTTCAGATCAATTCAATTCTTCAATTGCTTCCGATTTTTTTAATCAGATCCTGCGATTTTTTAAATCTACTATTTACATCCTTGCAGATTGTTAGGATTGTCCCCGGATTCTTCAATTTCTTAACTCCTCAATTTTGTCTTATCATTCCTAGTTTTTAGTTTCAACTTTGAATTCTTTTTGCAGATTTTTCAAATTCGCCAGAAATTTGACAAATGTCGCTGATTCTTTGGGCTTTTCGCTTCCTCACATTGTTTGGGTTTTTTCTATTCCATTAATTTTTCAAACATTCGTTTATTCGGTTCTTCCTATTTTTCGGATCTCCTTTTCTTCGGATTCTTCCTATTCTTTGTATTTTTCGGCTTTCCAATTATTCAGATATTTCAGATTCTTCGTATATTTCCGATTTCTTGCGATTGTTTGTATTCTTCCAATTCCCAAGTTTTCCCGAAATTCTCCCATGATTTTGACTGCTTTAGGTTCTGCGTTTCTTTAAAAAAATTTAAAAAGCTTTGGATTCTTTAGATGCCTCAGATTACTCCGCCTCTTTACAATTCTTCATATCCATCAGATTCTGCAGATTTTTCCGTTTCATAATAATCTGCACGTTCTTTAAACTTTTTGAGAATTTTTGGACCTTTCAGATACTTGAAATGTTTGATCCTTCAAGTTCACCTTCTGATTCATGGGATTATTCGTCCTATTCATTAGTGCCTTCTGGTCTTTGCAAAGGCTCCAGATTTAAATTGCTCAGGATTACTTTTTCCACATCTTCCCAATTTTTCTACTTCGTCCAGTTCTTGAAATTCTATGATGAAGCCTTTTCTTCGTTTTATCCAATATTTTCAGATTCTTTAAAATTTTCAAGTTCTACTTTCGATTGTTGGAATTCTTCCCTTTAAATTGTAAAAAATTTTTGGATTTTTCACATTCTTAAAATTTTTCAAATTGTGTTTTCAACCTTTCTGTTTGAGTTCATCAGATTCTTACATTTTTTCTGATGTTTCTGTTTCGATTCTTCAAGTGCATCTGAATTTTTCAAACTTTTTTCGTTTTCATTTGTTCAAATATTTCCGTTTCTTCTCAGTTTTACGATTTTTCAGTTTCAAAAAATTCTTTGCCTCAGCAGGTTCCCCCATTTCTACCAATTCTTTCGATTTTTCAAACTGCCTAATTTTCATGATGACGTATCTTCAGTGGGTTCTTATCTTGGCTAATGTCTCGTGTGGTTTGTATCTAGGGTAAGGCGGATTAATGTCGATGTTTCTTGTTTTTTTCACGGATGCTGTTGGCGACTTTCGGTCACGTGGTCCATGATGTTTTCGGGAACTTATTTTGATTATCATTAAAAATTTTGAAAAGAAGCTTGAAATATGTTTCAGAACTTTTTACGAATACTCGGATTTCGTATACGTATACCTATTTCTATAACGTTTCACAAGTACAATTGCACCAATTCAAAGGTACTTTCAAGGCGCACCAAAAAAGTAAATTGCCCCACGTTACGTTAAATGACCTTCAGCGGGCCATAAAATCGGTTTTATTTGCTTATTACGTACGCATTAAATTTTAACAAGGAAGTGACGTCTCATCAATGCAATTATTTCAGGATACAAATCTGGGAGAAAGCCGCGGATCTAATGGCGACCAAGTATCGCCAAGAGCTGAATGCGGCGACGATGCTCGGCCAATCGAAGACGGTCGTGCAGGCGGAGATTGATTCGTCCGCGGAATTGATCGACTTCTTCAGGTAGACAAGACACCACCCCCCCTCGTCCGTCGGACTCTTAAAAATCGGATGTTTTTAGATTTAACGCCGGCTTTATGAAGGAGGCGCTGAAATACCAACCGATCTCCGAAAACCCCCAGGTCACGCTCAACTCGATGAGGTACCGCGGTTTCGACGGCTTCATAGCCGCAATCTCCCCCTTTAACTTTACCGCGATCGGCGGAAATCTCGCGTACACGCCCGCTCTCATTGTAAGTTACACCCGCTTGCGATGTTGCAATTGTAACTTCCCCTTTTCTAGGGCAACGCTGTGCTTTGGAAACCGAGCGACACCGCGCTCCTCTCGAACTGGAAGATCTTCCAAATATGTCGTGAAGCTGGAGTGCCGGCGGGCGTCGTCAATTTCATACCCTGCGACGGGCCGCTCTTCGGCAACACGATAACCAGTTCGAAGTATTTGGCGGGAATTAATTTCACCGGAAGTGTACCGTAAGTAGTTCAAAATTTGGAAGATTTTTTTTGTTCAAATTTCGACATAGGACGTTTAATTACCTATGGAAGAAGGTCGGCGATCAGATGGGGACTTACATGAACTACCCGCGACTAATTGGGGAGTGCGGCGGGAAAAATTACCACTTCGTGCATCCGACGGCTGACGTCACGAGCGTCGTCAACGGCACGATTCGCGCCGCCTTCGAGTATTGCGGGCAGAAGTGCAGCGCGTGCTCCAGAATGTACGTTCCCGAATCGTTGTGGGGACAGGTACGTGCCGAGTTAATCGCGCGCAGGTGCTAAAACCCGTTCACTTTGCAGATCAAAGAGGGCCTTGTGGAGGCGACGAAGAAGCTGAAGGTGGGCGACGTAACCGAATTCGATACGTTCACCGGAGCGGTCATCGACGAAAAGGCGTTTAAGAGAATCGAAGGCTACATCAAACACGGTCAGAAATCGCCCAATACCATCCTCGCGGGCGGACGGTGCGATGCTAGGTAATTTCCTTTACTCGCATCACTCACCAGCTAATCTTTCGTCATCTTGCAGCCGTGGATACTTCGTCCAACCTACCATTATCCAAACTCAAGATCTGAACGATAAGTTAATGACCGAAGAAATTTTCGGCCCCGTATTAGCCGTATACGTCTACAAAGACAGCAAAGTCAATGAAGTATTAAGCACGATTGGATCCACCACACCATACGCCCTTACTGGCGCGATTTTCTCCAAAGATAGGTATGCCATAGACCTCAGCTGCTTCTCTTTGCGACTGTCGCGTTTATATGGCTCTGTTTTTTTTACGATAAGAATGCTAATGTTTTAAGTGGCCTAATCTATTTTTTTTTTTTTAGAAAATTTCTACAACACGCCCTGGAAGAGCTGAAAATGACGGCCGGCAATTTTTACATCAACGATCGGTCGACGGGAAGCGTCGTCGGGCAGCAGCCGTTCGGCGGCGCCCGAATGTCCGGTACCAACGATAAGGCGGGCGGTCCGTACTACGTGCTACGATGGGGAAATCCGCAGGCGATCAAAGAGACTTTCGTACAACTGAAGGATATCGATTATCCTTACATGAAGGCGTAATTGTGATAATAATGTACCCGGTGGTGTACGCAATATCCTGGACTGAAAGTTGTGACAATATCGAATGCATTTTGTAAATCAGATCTGATAACTTTAAATGTGGTGTAGTTTTTTTTTTTTTTTGTATGAAAAATATATGTATTATTTTTTTGTTTGTGATTTTTAGTGCTTTATTTTTCGTACATTTTTAGATATAAGTTATTTAACATTGTTTTTAATAAATAATCGGATTCGGTAGCGGTTTCTACGGGAAAGCAAATACAGGACAGCGAGATTCCCCGTTCTTATGATTCATGAAACTGAAAGTAACAAAAACTTACCTTGCAATTAACACAACAGTAGGAATTACTGTGCAAGAAAAAGCAAAAAGCTATAGTTACGGCATAGTATAATACAAATAGTAAGCCAACCGGTTCGCGCCAATTCTTGATGATTGTAAAGAGATGTATCGGAATATGCTGCCACCTAGTTGAGAGTAGCTCAATATGCCCGTCTGTGAAACTACATTCACTACTGTCACGGAATGATCGAAGCGGGAAAATAGAAAACATGATCGGTAATCGAGTTTAAATATTCTTCCCATATCGTACCTATTCCTATTTCATATCGTCATAATCAAGCACTATACTTACAAGCAGAGCTGGAATGATTACTCAAAAAAAGTATTCGAATACTGATTACAAATTACTTTATGATAAAAGTATTACAGTAATTGATTAGGTAGGTACCTACTTTACAAAATTTGTATTTAATTACAAAATTACAGTAATCGATTTACTTTAGCATCGTAATTACATTAGCTACATTCTTAAACATGCATCTTTCATGCGCACGTATCCATACTTTATTTATCGTTAACGAGTTCGTTGATTCTTTGTTATTACTTATTAACGATCCTCGAGACCGTTCATAATTTTGTATTGCTGTCTGTCTGTCCGTTTGTCGCCCGTATGCACGATACCTTTGTGTAGAAACGTCTGATCATTTTGAAAATCGGTACACATATTCTTATAAGGATATAAGAAAGGTCGCCATTGTTTTTCACCTGAGTTACAGCCCAAAAACTGCCCACACCTGAAAATAAGGTTTTTTTAAATAATTTTTGTTGTTTGTACATATGAATGTCAGGTTTTCTGTGTTAGTAAATATTCCTTAAACCACAAGAAACTACGCCGATGCATAAAAAGTTTGCCCCAACTTTTGTATCTGCGCAATCCAATTTTTTTATTTGTTAAGACGGGATTCTGGATTCTGGATTACGATAGGAGGGTGAACAGTGTCCACGCGTACTTAGGCCTCAAATTCGGGCCCTTTGTACTACCTCCCTGACTAGGGTCGCCCGACCCCTCAGCATCACTCAAGCCATCCCACACGTGAGATGAACCTTAGGACGCTGGAAGGGGAGGCGGCTGTTAAGACGGGAAAATGAAGTTTTGTATGTACGCACCTCGAATAGAAATAAAACTAATGCCGTATCAAGAAAATTGTATAACGTTCCAGTCCCTCTCTGTATAATCCGCTTATATTTTTAGCGCAATTTCCAAGGAAGGTGGATACGCTATTGCACTTTCTCTGTCCGTCGGTCTGTCCGACCGAAGCCTCTATTCCCACAGTTTTCAAGATATTTTGTTCGTTTTTTTTTGCATTCGCTAGCTTATAGCTCTGTCACCTCAATCAAGAAAAATCTTGACGAGTAATGTGCGCATGCGCAGGCTGCGCAGTTTCAACTTTCTTATTTATTAATATATTTTGTTCACAGACACTTCTAGTAAATGCAAACATATCGCATATAGTAAAAATCAGATGTGCACATGCGCGGACTGCGCAATGAACTTATTACTTAACTTATTTATGGAGATATTTCTTTGAAATTTTAACCAAATATCTTTTAGTGAAACCAAACGTGTCGCATACCGGTTACAAAGAAAAACATAGCGCACATAGCTATGGCGTTTTGGAAAGTACTGATCAATGCCTGGAAAATGCGTTGAAGTTGCTCGACTTACTTTTTAGCGCATTTCCACAAAAATAAAAAAACGCGCTATTGTGGCCACTTTGTCCGTCCGTCTGTCCGCTCGTTCGTTGAAACGCTATACTAGTTCTTTATCTTAAGAGCTATTGTTCTACTTTTTTCGCTATTTGGTTCGTTATGGTGTCCAGGATAGCACCAAGAAAGGAATTTTTTCAGAGTTTATTGCTAAAAAACTTGTTGTAAAAAAACCAAAGAACCGTTTTTTGCATGTTCCATAATTTTACACTTTTGCCGTTTATTAACGATCCTAGAAATCGTTAATAATTTTGTATTGCTGTGTGCTGTCTGCCGTCTGCCTGTTGGTCTGTCCGTCTGTTCCTTTGTCTGTCTGTCCCTCTACCTGTCCGTATGAACGATAACTTTCTTTAGAAATGTCCTATCGCTTTGTCATCTCCGCGAGTTATGAACTGATTTGCATGAAATTGAATATGGGCATAGCTTTAGCCATATAATACTTACTCAATGCCAAAAGTTGAGTCGAATCGATGCAAAATTCACAGTGCCCTTTTCGCATCTCGACCATTTATAAACCGAATTGCAAACTTTTTTATTTATAAAAGTATTTACCAGAATGAAATTTGATACATAGGCACTTGGAATAAAGAAAAATCAAACGCCAGTTTCAAAATTTAGGTTTGCGCATGCGCAGTTCCAACTTTCTTATTTAGAAAAGCATTGAAATTATTCTTATAAACTGAAATTGAATGTAGCACGTCAAAAATGGATTGCACATGTGCAACGCTATCTTTAATATTTGTGACCGGATTTTTACGATTTCAAAACGGTCCGGTCAAACGGGACCGGTTAAAACGCATAGTGTATTCAAGCACTAACATGCACCTGGCGTGGTATTACAGTAAGCCAGTGTAATATAGATATTACCCTGTTGAAGTTAAAGACATTTCATATGGCTAACTGTACTGGGTTCAGCGACATCTATTGAAGGGAAGATTCAATTACAATTGGTAGCACCGAATGTTGTTTCATGGGCGCACACCACTTTACAAATATACCGACTCGTGAGACATCTAGCAATCACAAATATGAACTAACCAAAATTCAAACGCGTTGTTTTACTATTGTCAAAGATTAATGATCTTTGCTATTGTGTTATATATATTATGGTTACGGTGTGGTAAATTTAATGTAAACTGGATGAATGCCAAATAAATGCGGAAAAACTCACAATTACGATACGTACAAAACGTAGTTCGCAGAAAGCAAAAGATTTTAACAGTTCAGATTTGTGTACGTACGAAATTCGAGAACTGCTTGAAAAAAGAAATCATACAGCAACTGAAACTGCCTTGCTATGGGTTCCATCCCATAGTGGAATACCAGGGAATGAGCGCGCAGACGCCGCTGTCAAGGAAGGATGCTACCGTAAACCCAGACATCGAACTCTTGAAACAATTGGAGATGGACCTTAGGAGGATAACGTACCGGAAACTCCTTAGACAGTGACAAGAGTGCTGGTCTCAGTTAAACCACAAACTCTCCCGAATAAAACCGACCATCCAGAGACCTATTTACCACAATTTCCGACGTCAAGAAGAGGTTAGTCTCTCACGTCTACGAATGGGACACACCCCTTCTTCACTGTGGGCCACATTATGTTGGAGTGTCCCACCTACGCTGCTCCTCGTCGGTCATTTGGAGTTGCCAACAACCTCCAGGAAGCCCTAAATTCTAATGACTCCGCCACACTTACTGCCACAGCCCAGTACCTTAAAGTGACCGACCTCATCAATAAACTGTAAAAAATTATAATGTAGTTTGAAGGTGCTAAAAACAAAGGTTGATGTACCTCCAAATAAATCGTCAATAATAAAAAAAAAAGTTTTAAATACGACAACGTCGAAAATTCCGAACTGGCCGGTGTATTCGGTTAATATTGTCAAAAAACTATTATTGTTAATGTATTAATATGTAAAGTTGGTTGCCTATTATAGCCACCCATTCCATGCATTTGACCCGTTTTTTTAAGTGTACATAGCCTATATGTATTTTATACTTCCTGTATATTCGAGAGAACAATATACTACATGGATGAATTCGACGAATCAAATTTTCGATGTAAGAAAATCCGTTAGGGCTTTCGTCGAAAATTTTGACAGACGCTTCAGATGTCAAATTGTTTTTGACTTTTTGTTAGCGTCCTTATTGTAAATTTTAAATAGTTTTAAATTAATTGTTGTTTTAAAATGTTACAAACAATCCATTTATTTATTTAAAATGGACAACGTGGAGTGTTAATTTCGACAAATCTCGTAAACGGGCGTTCAAATTTTCCCTCGCCCCTTGGAACATTATGGCGGTATTTTGTGTTGTTTACGCCTGAAAAATTACTTCAAAATGTAATTGGAATTATCGCTTAAATTGATTTAATTTTGGCGTTTTAGATGGATTCCTATCACAGTGTGTCCGAGGATTCGGGCTGCGTAATCAGTCAGTCGGATAAGTCGAGTTCAGTCGGTTTTTCTTACACGGAGACCCCAACTTCGGCGCTTCCAACATCGCGAAAACGCAAATTTTCACAGGACACTTACTCACAGAGCCACGAATGGACGTTTACGTTCGAGGAATCGAACGCAAACAACTTTATGTCGAGTACGTTAAACGAATCTCTAACGAAAAGTTTAGAAAAGTGCAACCTCTACACGCCGAACTTTTATATCGAACGTTCGCCCAGTGAAAAGTCGGAGAAACGTTACAAACTCGACGACAGTCCGGAGTTTCAACCGAAAACCCGTTCGGCGCCGTCTACGCCGACGAAACACCTCGAAGATCAAGAGCTGAGCCCGAATTGTAAGAGCAAGAGCGAGCCGCTGTCGTACTGCTACTATACGCCCGACGTCAAGTTGGGAAATCAGGAGAAGTTCGCATTACTCTACCCGAACATTCACCCGACCGTCTCGCCGACGAAACTCAAAACGCCCGAAAAGCTACGCGAGTTCCTCAAGAAGTTGAATTCGCCCGCGAAAAAGCGACTGTTCGAGCCCGCCGAACGTCCGACGACCGATCCGATCGTACTCTTTACGGTCAAGTACAATGTGCGGCACGTTGTCGCGATGATTTTCGATTACCTGTCCCCCCGCGACCTTTGCACGATCAGTCGGGTGAGCAAGGTGTGGCGGAGAGCCCTGCTTCACGACCACAAGGCGTTCCCGAGGTACTACACGTACTCGCAGGAGTATAACAGCAATAAGGAGAACGTCGGCGATTCGTTCTGTTTTCGCGAGCCGGACACTCCACCTCTCAGTCCGGACACGGATAGTTTTCGTCGGTGCACGAAGGTAGGTGGGGGTGAAGCGAAAAATAGGGCATTCACCCGTTCTAGTCGTTCTACTCGTTTTTTTCCATGTTTCGATTACAGATCGTCTCCCGGCTCTCTCCTAGTCAAAGTCTCCACAAGTGCCTACGTTGTATGGAACCCGCTGTGATACAAAAAAACGTTAGTCAATGCCAAAACCCGAACTGCCTCTACATTTACTGCCGGAACTGCCTGAGCTTCTCGATGACGGGTCCCGAGTACTTCAACGACAAGTGTCGCATGTCCGAGCTCGTCGTGACCACCGGCCTCAATCGTAGCAGTCTGTGCGACATCTCCAACGGGGCGTCGCCCTCGTTCTTCCCGAACGACACGGTGCCCCAATCGAAGTACGACTCGTCCGGTTACGCGTCAGAATTGGACACTACGCCGGTTATAAAACGTGCCCTCGCCGGTCAGCCCCTTCAGCCGGTGACCATCAACAGGCTGGATAGCGTAATTCGGCGCAGAACGCGGCGGCCATCCCTCGTATCGGTAGTCGCGGCACGAACCACGCCGCAAATCTTGGAGGTGATCGAGCCTTCGAGTCCCCCTAAAGTAAAGGACGTTGCGTGCTCTACGAAAAGCAAAAAGTACTTAAAACGTCTGAAATTTTAAGTAAAATGTTAACGACTATTCATAAGTTAAGTATGTGTACTCTCAATGAAACGGCAGGGCACTGGTTAAGTTATTCTATTAACGTAAGGTTTATGTAGAGGAAAATTGAGCTTTGTCATTCGTTCCTTACATTTGTTAGCGAATAAAGTTTTATCTTGCAGAAGAATAAAAAATCACTTACCCTTCCGGGACCCACGGTCATTTAAATAATTACAATTCGTGCCTACGAGCTCGAGAATGCCAGGATTTGAATTGGAGGCGGCACGTTACTGACTTACATTTATTTTGTAACGGTTCGTTGAACGTGAAAGTTTATATAATTTATTATTTATACAATCCGGTTCAGATTAAGCGACGGTTATAGTTCAATTCTCACAATTTGTAATTAATTGATTAGGTCGTTTTGGCACTAGAAGTCTCTGTTCTCTGTTTAAAAGTCAAGTGATAGGGGCTCCCCTGAAAGAAGGTAGTGGGAAACTCGCATAAATACATTTTTAATAAATACCTTGATCATTACCCCATAGGACTTGCATGGGGCCTCTTTAATCTTTATCCTCCCTACTATTATTGCTACCAGTTTAATGAACTGAGTGGGTTTTGCAGAATCAGCTGTCGAATTTATATTATTTTTTTATTACATTGGGTTCCCCTTTGGTTAATTCCACAATTTTTTAACCCAAGTGTCGATATGATGAAGAAATGGAAAAGAAACTAAATTTGGCTCAAAGGACCAATTTATGCTGATACATCACAAACTAAAATTTTTGTTGGAAAGGACTACTTTTACTTATCACATTTTTAATAGTAATAGTAATTTATTGTGTTAATACATTGAAGAAATGCTTACACTCGTCCGAAAATCGTATAAAACATAAACATAAAATACATGAAACATAGAGAACAATAATAATAATAATAATAACTTTTATTATGTTTAAGTAACCGAAAAAAGTTACATACAATCGTCAAAAGAAAAATTACACAAAAATCTAAACCGAGATCTAAACTAATACATAAATTTAAATTTTTTCGGCGAATTTGAAATTAAAATATTCATTTTGGGAATAGAACGCCTTTGACAACAAAAATTGTTTAATGTTGTTGCTAAAAACCTTTTCATTAAGCAACTTAATAGTATCGGGTAGATGATTATAAAATTTTATTGCAATATATTCTGCACCTTTTTGCGATATACTTAATCTTAAAAGGGGTAAACGATAATCCTCCTTGCTACGTGTATCGTGAGCATGAATATTACATAAATAACATGAAAATTCATTTAGAAAACAAATAATTAAAAAATAAAAATAACTTAAAGTGTTAAAGTCTTGAGGTCGTTATCTAAAAACTCTTGGATGTTATATTAGTCTGGTCAAGTTAGTCCGAAAAATAGGGGTACCCTTGCATAAATTCCCAAGAAGCTGAAAATTCAACGTTAGGGATACCATTATAATGAAATTGTGAGAAGTTCCCATCGATCCCATGTGTGCAAAAAATTTTATTCAAGGTCAAAGTTCGCAAAAATGAGTTCTGAATTTTTTTGTGAAACGGTTAGTTTTACGATAAAAATAGCCCAGGTACAAATTGTAGATCATGCAATTATATACAAAAAGTGTCCTTACACTTTTTCTCCTAAGATTCAGTACTTCTGAGAAAAAGCGATTCCAATATTTACTAAAGTGTATTCTCTCTACTATACGTTTCCACGCCACCTGTGAGGTAGTGTACTTGACGCGTTTTTTTAACGTGGTTTTCCCAGTAGGCCTACTCCACGGTAAAGGAGGAACACGCGCGATGATTTTTGCCACAGCGCGGAGAAACCTGTAGGGCAGGCATGTCAACACGCGGCCCCCCGTTCTGAAACCTGCGGCCCATGCACCTCAGTCATTACTCGATATTTAACCCTCGGGCGACTTACAATCCCTCGGGCTCTGTCGCCCTCGGCATAAATAGCGCCTTAATGCCCTTGATACATAAAAGTCTTAATACTACTTAAAAAATCAAGTTATACTTTGTATGGGGTTAGCTTTTTTTATATTTCTATTGTTATATACAAATTTAAGGGGAGTAAAAGTAATAATTTCAAACAGTTCCAAGATTGGGCTACTAGTTCAAAAGTTACAGCCCTTTGAATTTTCTAAAAAGGGAGGTTATACACTGCCTTTTTTGAAGCCCGAAAAAAAAATTGTCTCTGAACGACACGGAAAAAAAATTTTCTTATAGAATGTGGCCTGTAGAATCCATAATTTGAAACAGTTTCAAGATTGGGCTACTAGTTCAAAAGTTACAGCCCTTTGAATTTTTTTTTGAAATTGGTTTCTATAGTTTAACTTTTGATTGAGATGTCTGATCGAAAAAGTACGAATTGATTTGGATTCTACGCACCAAAATTAATGTGAAAAAGTGTTTCCCCGAGAAATTTTGGTGTACTCAATTTTTGGTAAAAAAGGGAGGTTGTACATTGCCTTTTTTGAGGCCAGAAAAAAAAATTGTCTCTGAACGACCCGGAATAAAAATTTTCTTATAGAATGTGGCCCGTAGAATCCATAATTTCAAACAGTTCCAAGATTGGGCTACTAGTTCAAAAGTTACAGCCCTTTGAATTTTCTTTCGAAATTGGTTTCTAGTCTATAACTCTTGATTGAGAAGGAAGGTTATACACACTGCCTTTTTTTGAGGCCCGAAAAAAAAATTGTCTCTGAATACCCGGAAAAAAGATTTTCTTATAGAATGTGGCCTGTAGAATCCATAATTTCAAACAGTTCCAAGATTGGGCTACTAGTTCAAAAGTTACAGCCCTTTGAATTTTCTTTCGAAATTGGTTTCTAGTCCTTTTGAATTTTCTTTCGAAATTGGTTTCTAGTCTATAACTTTTGATTGAGAAGTCTGATCGAAAAAGTACGAATTGTTTTGGATTCTACGCACCAAAATTAATAAGAAAAAGTGTTTTCCCGAGAAATTTTGGTGCAGTCGATTTTTGGTAAAAAAGGAAGGTTATACACTGCCTTTTTTTGAGCCCCGAAAAAAAATTGTCTCAGATCGACCCGGAAAAAAATTTTCTTATAGAATGTGGCCTGTAGAATCCATAATTTCAAACAGTTCCAAGATTGGGCTACTAGTTCAAAAGTTACAGCCCTTTGAATTTTTTTTTTGAAATTGGTTTCTATAGTATAACTTTTGATTGAGATGTCTGATCGAAAAAGTACGAATTGATTTGGATTCTACGCACCAAAATTAATATGAAAAAGTGTTTTCCCCGAGAAATTTTGGTGCAGTCGATTTTTGGTAAAAAAGGAAGGTTATACACTGCCTTGCCTTTTTTGAGGCCCGAAAAAAAAATTGTCTCTGAACGACCCGGAAAAAAAATTTTCTTATAGAATGTGGCCTGTAGAATCCATAATTTCAAACAGTTCCAAGATTGGGCTACTAGTTCAAAAGTTACAGCCCTTTGAATTTTCTTTCGAAATTGGTTTCTATTCTATAACTCTTGATTGAGAAGTCTGATCGAAAAAGTACGAATTGATTTGGATTCTACGCACCAAAATTAATATGAAAAAGTGTTTTCCCCGAGAAATTTTGGTGCAGTCGATGTTTGGTAAAAAAGGAAGGTTATACACTGCCTTTTTTGAGGCCCGAAAAAAAATTGTCTCTGAACGACCCGGAAAAAAATTTTTCTTATAGAATGTGGCCTGTAGAATCCATAATTTCAAACAGTTCCAAGATTGGGCTACTAGTTCAAAAGTTACAGCCCTTTGAATTTTCTTTCGAAATTGCAGTTTCTAGTCTATAACTTTTGATTGAGAAGTCTGATCGAAAAAGTACGAACTGATTTGGATTCTACGCACCAAAATTAATATGAAAAAGTGTTTTCCCCGAGAAATTTTGGTGCAGTCGATTTTTGGTAAAAAAGGAAGGTTATACACTGCCTTTTTTGAGGCCCGAAAAAAAAATTGTCTCTGAACGACCTGGAAAAAAAATTTGCTTATAGAATGTGGCCCGTAGAATCCATAATTTCAAACAGTTTCAAGATTGGGCTACTGGTTCAAAAGTTACAGCCCTTTGAATTTTCTTTTGAAAATGGTTTCTAGTCTATAACTTTTGATTGAGAAGTCTGATTGAAAAAGTACGAATTGATTTGGATTCTACGCACCAAAATTAATATGAAAAAGTGTTTTCCCCGAGAAATTTTGGCGCAGTCGATTTTTGGTAAAAAAGGAAGGTTATACACTTCCGTTTTTGAGGCCCGAAAAAAAAATTGTCTCTGAACGACCCGGAAAAAAATTTGCTTATAGAATGTGACCTGTAGAATCCATAATTTCAAACAGTTCCAAGATTGGGCTACTAGTTCAAAAGTTACAGCCCTTTGAATTTACTTTCGAAATTGACTAAATACTAAGTATTTGAGTTACAAATACAAATAGTAAGTATTTGAGTTACAAATACAAATACTGCTTCCATAAAAGTATTTAATTACAAAGTATTTGAATACTAAAAAGTATTTACAAAATCGAATACTGCCCAGCTCTGGTATGGACGCTAGTAAACTTCCCGAATGTTAGAGGAATCTCTATAGAACATCCATTCTGAATGTATACAACATACATAGAATATCCTATTTAACATCTTTTGCATATTACAGGAATATCCATGATATATCCAGTTGTCAGTATACCAATATACATACCATGTCTGATGCATATACATAAGACATCTAAAACGTATATACTATGTATTATGTGAAGTCTGCCAAACTTATATCCCATGCACATAGGTACATCGGACATTTGCGACATGCTTTTCCACATTCTCTGGATATACAATATCCCACGTGGAATGTACATGGTCTGCTAATGTGAGGAGAACTAACTCTTTTTTGTCGGGTTGAAGGACAAGGAGTGTTATCCCTACACCATTCTTCAGTTACTTATTCTAAAGGCTGATTGCATCAGTCTGCATAGCGTAGGTGTAGCGTTGGGGGCACCCTCTCACTACTGTGCAGTAGATGGATTCTATAGAGCTGCAAACATTCTTCCATGCCTCTTTCTGACGCCTAGTCTAATATCTTTCTTTAGGTGTACCTTATAGGCCTTCCATTCGACTATAGCTTTGTTCTTCTTTGCTTTATTGAACAGTTTGTCCAACCGAGTTTTCTGCTCTTCTAGCGCCCTCTGCGTCACTAGAAATGG